ACTGATATTGGCCGTTTGGTGCACAATTAACCCGAAATCGGTTGAAGATATATATGGGAGCTATATCCAAATCTGAACCGATCTTGATTAAATTTAGCAGAGGTATTTTCGAGCAGTATCTGATATCCAGTGCCAAATATCATTTTTGTGGAATGCATATTACGCATGTAAGGGACTTACAACCCCAAATCGGATATTTGGTAGCTATATCTATATCTGAACGGATTTCCTCCAAATTTGATGGATTTCCTTCTAGACTGAATTCGGTGGGATGCTCTAAAGTTCAGGTCATTTGGACTTATATTGGCATTTGGTGCACAATTAACCCGAAATCGGTTGAGGATATATATTTGAGCTCTATCCAAATCTAAACCGATCTTGACCAAATCGGATGAAACATACATATATATGGGAGCTATAGCTATATGTGAACAGATAAGATTCTCCAAATTGGATGTATTTGCTTGTAGACTGGATTCGGTGGGATGTACCGAAATTCAGGCCATTTGGACTTATATTGGTGCCCGAAGTCGGTTGAGGATTTATATGGGCGCTATATCAATATTTGAACTGATATTCATAAATTTTAATAGGGTTCGTCCTTGGTCCAAATAATATTGTTTGGAAAATTTCAGTTAATTCGGATAATAAATGCGACCTTCATTTTGTTCACAAGGATACATGGACAGACGGACTTATAGGTCTATCTCGCTTCACAAATCAAATGCACAAATCACTAAACATACCTTTCAGCGCAATTTCTTCTACTCATAACACATTTACATGGGTAATTCGCAAAAAATTAAATTATAAGGAATAATTCCAAACTTCGTCGTAAAAATAACAGAACCAAATAAACTCCATGTCAATTGCCACAAGCAACATGTTCTCCGTCATTTCAAAATATAAGAACAATATCGAGTGTTTCCTGAACCGTCTGAAAAAAAAACAAAATCCCTAACACCCCAAAAGCGTCTTAGCACTCGAATATGTCGTTATTTTTACTTCGACTTTTTTTCTGTGAGGACTGTCAATGAGGCATAAAATCATCATCACATGACTGTTGAAGTTTACTCGCCTGCTTGTTATATAATGAACCATCATCATTGAATAGGCGGATTACCCACCATTTTGGGCGAAATAGCAGACAACAGACGTAATGATGGATGACTGGCGTTTCTTTTCTTTTCTATTCGTTTTGGTTTATTTTCGTTTGTTGTAGATCCATTACTTGTTCAATTTCAGTAAATACTCGCTTCATTTGGCTGCGTTTGTATGTGTTTGTGTGTGTGTGTGTGTGTGAGGGAAAGTGAATTTTTTTACAACCAAAACTTAATGACTTTACGTGCAGGTGTTTAGGGAATAAGAACATTTTAACCTTTTCTTTATTACTTTCCCAGCTTTGGAGAGAACAGACGCATTAACATAAGCATTCAAATAAAGAAAACATCCGTCGAAATGCCTAGAGTAATGGTAACTCATTTGTTTTAGCTCAAGGGATAAAAAGAATTGACTTATTCTTTCATCAAAATCTTGTTGCGATATGAATGAGAGAAAGCCTTACCATGTGTGTTTGTTTATGCATCACGTATAGCAAATGTAAAAGAATTATCAGATTTACTTTTGCCTCGAAGAATATTTAAAAATCTGAGAAGTGCCATTGAGTTAACCTCACAATTCACTTTTTCACGCAAACACCATGGGGATGGGGGTTCATTAATTTGGTCCTTCTGTTTTTGACAAACTTTCGTGAAGATTCCATGGGCGAATGAAAGTTTCCGCTGATCACATACGTCGCTGTGAGAAACTTTCTTGATACATTTTTCGAAGAGGACCTTTTATCAGAAATGTCAGTAAATGCCGGGATACCACAAGGTACTCTCTTTGGTTGCGTTCTTTTTAAAATATTTGTCAGTGATGTACCACATGTGCTGTGCTGTGCACTGCTGGACCACATGCAAGGAACACTAATGTACATTTAAATACACCTTTGGCAAGGCCAACTTGAGATTAACATGGAACGCGACGTCTTCCAACCAATAGTATATGAATCTATCGACTTCAGTCGTATATATAAAATTATACTGGCTTGCGCTCTTAGTATCCCAGACAGAGCTGCATCCTTAAATAATGGGTTAGTAATAGGAAGCCTCGTGCATGAAATAAATGTGCCCAATTATATGCACAACATCTAACCAAATAAAATAGATTTTGTTATATACGACCAGATTTTGCCTAGATGAAAATCTCATCCATAAAAATAATATTCAAAACAAGATATCAGATACAGTTTCAGAACAGGTAAGGAAAAGTCAAAAGTCGGACGGGACCGACTATATGATACTCTACACCACTATGCACATTAAGTAGAGCTCTAGTAACAAAAGAATTTATTTCAAGTAGACCTATCAACATTTGGCTTTAGAACAGTTATATTTTGCTATAGAGTGCATGATATCACTTGGAGAAAGATTATATTAAAAGAATATATATCGGAGCCGAGTTGCACGAAATGTAAATGTAAGTCCCGAAAATAACTCCATTTTGGGTTGATATAAGCCATTATTTTTACAATAAACCTTAAATCGGATTGAGGATGTATATGGGAGCTACATCCCAATCTGAACCGATATTGGCAAAATTTGGCCTAGGTATTCCCGAGCTCTATAAGATATCTGGTACCATATATCATTATTGTCGAATGCATTTACGAATTTGAGGGATTGGATGAAACATATATATTTGGGGCTATAGCTATATCTGAACCGATATATCTGCTATACTGAATTCGGTGGGAAGTACCAAAATACAGGTCATGCCCGAATGTTGCTCTGCGGTATTTTGGCCCATTCCCGACGAAGCGCTTGATTGAGGTGATCGACACTTTGGTATTTTTTAGTGCCAACCCTGCTTTCCAAAATACTCCAGACACAATAGTTCAACGGATTGGTATCCGGAGATTTCGGAGGCCATTGCGCGCTGAAAATGAAGCGAGGAACCTAATTTTGTAAACACTCTTGGGTTGCGCGTGCTGAGTGTGATGGTGCTGAGTCTTCCAGAACATTTTCGCGACAATATTCGGCATTTATTCTGATGCCACGGTCGATTAATACTAGCGGAGAGCGACCATCGGCTGTTATGGCGGCCCACAACATCACCATGGCCGGCGCTTGAGTACTGGTGGCCAACCGAAGGTGCCCATTTTCAGCTGACCTCTTTGGCAAGTACACACGATCATTTTGTTTGTTTACAAACTGCTGGACAAAGAATATTTTCTCATCTGAGAAACCCAAATTCGGCAGTTCACCACTTTCGGCCAAGCGAAGCAACTTTTTAGCTCTTTTTAGTCTATTTTCATTCTGTTGCAAGAACTTTTTGGAATTTCAATGGCTTTACCCCGAGCTCATTTTTCAATATTTGCCGAATGGAATATTGCGATACGTTCAGCTCACGAACCATTTTTCGGCCACTGACACGCGAGTTTCGATCAAGTCGCCACTATACATTTCGAACCATTTCTACCACTAAAAAACTAAGTAAAAAAAGTATGTTGCTACCCCCAATTCTTTATCTCTCTCGTGTATGCGGACTAAATTTGGCATGTTCCTGCTTTTTTCGTGGTCAGCTTTTCCGACATGTTCACGCGATGGCAGATCGAGCCATTTTTATACCCTCACCTCAAAATTTATCAGAACAATTTGTATTGTACCTAGGATGGTTGGTATTGAAAATAAGATATGTCGGTCCACATTTTGGCATAGCCCCCATATTACGGTACCCTTCGATATTCGGTATTTTGTTAAATTTTGCCACATTTTCCACGGATTTGTCTAAAAATTTATATTGGTAGGTCATGATGGGTTCTACCTCGTGTAGCAAAACATTGTATGTATAGGTTCACGTTTTGGTGTAGCCCCCATATAACGGTACATCCCGATACTCGGTATTTTGATGATTTTTGCAACATTTTTTCACGGATTTGTCTAAAAATCGGTATTTGTAGGTTATAATGCGTTCTAGCTTGTGCGGCAAAGCATTGTATATGTAGGTTCCATGTATTGCCCCAATATAATGGTACCTCCCGATTTTCGGTAGTTTGATGATTTTTGCCACATTTTCCCACGAGTATGTCGAAAAATTGGTATTTGTGGGTCATAATGAGTTCTAATATTTCCTTTACCCTAAGGTGGAGGGTACTAAAAATTCGGCCCGGCCGAACTTATTTTTTTTTACTTGTTTCATGGTTTCATGCTGCGATGGCAGATCGAGTCATTTGTTTGTTTACGCATTAAAGTATTACAATAATTACGTTTTATATCCTCCATCAGTCTATGGATGGTATATTAACTTTGTCATTCCGTTTGTAACTCCTCGAAATATTTATAATAGACCTACAAAGTATATATATATTCTGTATCAGCGTAAAATTCTAAGACGATATAGTTATGACCGTCCGTCTGTCTATTGTAATTACGCTATCTTTCGAACGAGTTGACATAGAAGGCTAAAATTTTGCATAAATACATAGTTTACCAGTAAAGCAAGTTTTGTTCGTAAATGGACCATGTCGGTCCACGTTTTCGTATAGCCCCCAAATAACGGTACCTCCCAATATTCGGTATTTTCATGATTTTAGCGATAGTATTTATTGGAATTGTTTCAAATTTCACATTTAAAGTTCGTAATGGGTGCTACAGCCTATGACAAAAATATTTGTATGCTGGTCCACGTCTTCGTATGCCCCCATATAACGGCACCTCCCAATATTCGGTATTTTTTATGATTTTTGTGACATTTTTCACCGGAATTGTAACAAATCAAACAAAGTTCGTAATGTGTACTACAGCCCATGAGAATAAAAATCGTATGTAGGTTCACTTTTTCGTATTTCCCCAGTTTTCATTTAAGGCGTAGTTTCTGGAAGTTTTTTGAAAATTTTCAAGTTCCTTCCAAATGGTGGAGGGTATTAAAAGTTCGTTCCAACCGAACTTAGTTGTTTCTTGTTTTAAATTTTTGAATTAGTTTTATTTCTTTTTTTCTAACCAACAAATATTAGTATATAAAATTTTGAATGCATATAAAATCAAAAGGGGTAGCGAAGCGTTCAGCTAGTAAACACATAAAACGAAAAATTTAATTGTTTATTTACTCATTAATTTCATTTATTTTAAATCGCAACTGTTCACAAGAAATCTTTGAAGACATTTTTCCAAAAATTGCAATAAATTAAATTAAATTCTGTTTTACTTCGAACACACATCCAATTCAATTCTTGATCATAACACAAGAATTACTGGGGGAATTTTTAATTATAAATAATAATAAATAGTTCTTACATTACAAAATAATTGTGTCAAATAAATTAGTTACATTTCACTTAATATAGACGGTAATAAATAAATGTAATAAATTAAAATTAAACTACACATTTGTCATTTTGCAACAACAAAACGCTGACAGTTGTAAAAGTAAATTTAAAGAGAGGAGGGGGAGAGGGTGATTTTTCTAAACGTTTGGCGATGTTATTCATGTGGCGATGTTTGCAACAGACCATTACCAGTTACCAAATAATGTTTGTTATCTGAAATGAAAGTAATTAGATATTAAATACGACAGTTTTTTTTTTTTTTTCTTACTACCTTAAATTTCGATTTTAATCATCTCCTTTGGGGTCGTTTGGCCAAACTTTGACCTAAAAGCGAACAACTTCCACTCCTTGTGGAGCAAAAAATGTTTCAGCTGCCATTTTTAGTTTCTCGTTAACTAATTTGGCTATTTTAGGTGTCCGGCGCCAAACAAATTCTCGAGTGCGGTCGTGGTTATCCTTGCTCTCCACTTCAACCTGTTGGTACAAGAAAATTACTTTAATTAAGTTTATTTTCCATGAATGTGTGTTATGAAATAATTAATTTGTGTTTTATATTATTGAAAAATATTTTTCTAATTGACTTTTGATTACATTCTTTACTGGCACATTCAATAAATTAGTTGTAATATTGTAATTATATGCCCCACACCATGATGAGACCAAAAAAAAAAAACAAACAAAATTAAAATACTCCTATTCAGAATTTGAGTAAGCTAAAAATTGCAATCTCTACGAAGACAAGTTTAAAGCCTTCAATATCCCAAATATCGGGCCGAAAGATTTTGTGGGTTTCTATATCCTTAATTTTTCTGCATGGAAGATATTTACTCTCTTATATTGAGAAATTTTAATTTGTTGGCAATTCGGTTTTTAAATTCGCTTAACTTCTATAATGAAAAACATATCGAGTGTGTTTGTTCCACACATTCGTAATATGCACTTCACAAAAATGAAATTATGTACAGGGTTACCCATATTCGACGGACCCATCTGGCAACGCCATAACTTTTGACAGAGATATCACATCGCTTAATGACATACCGCGTTTGAAGCGTCAGTCCAAGCAGATTTTTACCATGAACCAATACACGCCACGCGAGCCCTCTGAAATAGTTGAAATTTATATTCAACAGAAGAAGTCAATTGTGAAAACTCAACACAAGTCGCATAACAATCGATTTTCTGAAGAATTTGTTTCCGGGCCGTTTGATGTCGAAAAGTGGGGATTTGGACTGGCCACCGCGTTCGCCTGATTTGACGCCGCCTGACTTCTTCTTTTGGGGATATTTGAAGTCAAAGGTTTACGTTAACAAGCCAAGGACCGTAGACAACATTCGTGAATCAATAGCCGCTATTCCGGCCGAAATGTTGGCAAAAACGATGGAAAATGCAGCAAAAAGGGCACAATACGTCATCAGCGCCAGAGGGGGCCATTTGCGAGATATCATATTCAAAAATTGATGTAAACAAATCTACTTTGAACAAATTAAATTATTAACATTGCCAACCGCCAAATTTGTATTTTTTTCTTTGATTTAAAAAAAAAAACAAAAACGAATATGGGCAACCCTATACTAGATATCAGATACAATTCAGAAATAGATTTTATCGAGATCGGTTCGGATAACAGCTCCCATATATATTGTTCGCCAAATGTGTACTATTAGCCCAAATGGTATGAATTTTGGCAAAGACTACAAAATTATACCTAAAATCAAGTGTGTTAATTTTCGGTTCAGATATGACTATGGGTCCCATATATATGTTTTATCCGATTTTATATCTAAGTCACCCAAATTCGTATACTGCACTCCAGAACAAGGATTTTCGGTAAAAAATATTGGCTATATTCTGAAAATAAATTTTCCAAGTTTTGTCGGAATCGATTCAGATTTGGATATATCTCCTATACATATTTCCCTCAAATTTTATATAAATAATAATACATCGAGAACACCACTTTTGATCAAAAAAAAGTAGCTTCATTCGATTTTATATTTAACTATTCTGAATACAGGTTGCAATTATGGCCCGATCTTCACGAAATTTAGAATGGAGGTGGAGATTCGAGATGATCGCATAATATTTAGGGGTTGAAATGGACCAAAAACTGAAAAATTTCCTGATTTTGCTGTTGCTCTACAGGTCGCAATTATAGACCAATCGAAATAGGCTATAACCTTTGTGTTAAATAAAACTCAAAATTTTCCATTAAACAGCGAATATTTTTTATCCCGGCGAAATCATAAATAGACGATTTCTGACCGAATCGTCCGATCCTCACGATAATTTTCACAAGGGTGGGGTTAGGCTCAGAAGGGCTACCCTATTATTTTCAAAGATATCCGCAATATATTTAGGGGTTGAAATGGACCAACAACTAAAAATGTTCCTGATTTTGCAGCCGATATAAAGCGCATAAATAGAAACCAAAGGACACGAAATCTCGCATGAAGTTAGAGTTTAGGACAGCGGGTGGAATGGACCACTACATTTGTGTGAAAAAATAACAACTTACAGATGATATCCGAAATACACAAAAGGCGAACTTCTGGCTTTTTATACCCTACACCACATAATGGTAAGGGTATTATGTCTTTGTGCATTTGTTTGTAACATGGAGAAGGAAGCGAGATAGACCCATAGTTGCTTTTGAGGATCTCCATAGAATCACTTTCTGAGTTGATTTATGAATGTCAGTCCGTCCGTCCGTCTGTCCATGTATTTTTGTGAACAAAATGCAGGTCGCATTTATTATCCGATTGAGATGAAATTTTCCAAACAGCATTTGTTTGGCCCAAGGACGAACCCTATTGAAATTTTAGATAATCGGTAAAAATTTAGATATAGCTCCCATATATATCTTCGTCCGATTTGCCTTTTATTGTGCAAAAAACGTGTAATATCAGTCCGAATAGTATGGAATTTTGCACGTACGATCAGATTGGGCCTATAAATAAGTATGCCAAATTTGATCGAAATCGGTTCAGATATAGCTATAGCTCCCATATATGTTGTTCATCCGATTTGTTAATTTTGTCCTCTGAAGCCGTAATATGCACTCTGCAACAACAATATTTGGGGAAGTATATCAAATGCAGCTCAGAAATACCTTTGCTAAATTTTATCGAGATCGGTTCAGATTTGGATATAGCTTCCATATATATCTTCGTCCGATTTACCTTTTATTGTGCACCAAACGTCTAATATTTGTCCAAATGGGATGGAATTTGGTACATACGACCGAAATTAGTCTAGAAGGTAGTATGCCAAATTTGGTGAAGATCGGTTCATATATAGCTGTAGCTCCAATATATATTGTTCATCCGATTTGTTGTATTTGTTACAAACAGCCGTAATATGAAATCCGTAACAACGATATTCAGGGAAATATATCAAATACAGCTCAGAAATATGTTTGCCAAGTTTTATCGAGATCGGTTCAGATTTGGATATAGCTCCCACATATATATCTTTATCTTATTTCAAATTAATTTTGCACCAAATGGGCAATACAAGTCCGAATTTAAAAGATACAAATGCTTCGGCATATTTAGTCCTTTGAACTTTAAATTATAATTATAATCATAGGGTGTATGATTGAATTCTCCCATAAAAACTTTTAATTGTTATGTGGAGCTCTACTTAATAAGCAAAGTGGTTTAGGGTATCATATAGTCGGCCCCGCCCGACTTTAGGACTTTCTTTACTGGTTTATGCTGATTTCGTTGACGAATATAGCCAAGTATCATAAGCAAGCAAATCATATAGATGAGTCTAAATTTGGATATACAGAGGCGCCGCTTGCTTTTGGAGATGACTGCAAAATATTTTGGGGGTTCAATTTTTTACATTAACAAATCTCATCATGCCATTAAAATTGGTCAGTATTTACTGCCCTTTCCAATACGAAAACCTTACACATAAAATATTCAATTCACATTAATTTGTTCCATGTACTCACTTGCTTTGGTTGTTGCACCTTAATCGACATCAAAGTGGCACGATCATTAACGACACCAAATTTAATACGTCCGATCATTTCGTTGGTACGAGCCGTTGCACTCTTAACATTCTCTACACCGCCACGTTTGAATGATTTCTCGACACGTAGGATAAGTGGACCCAGAGTGAACTTTGCTTTAATGGTTGAATTGCGACCTTCCGGATCGGTCACCACTTTAACATTGCCGACACGTTTCAATGATGCCAATCCCGATAGGCTGCCTTCGGCCTTTTGAAAATCGCCGCTGCCATCCTTATCGCCATGTTGTGGTGAATTGCCAGTTTTATGTCCGATAGTCGATTTTAGTTTTTGTTTGTTGTTGTTGTTATTGTTTGCTGCCTTAGTGCCAGATGCTGCTGTTCCCGATGCCACCGAATTGCCGTTATGAACCTTTTTGTTGGCATTCTGTTTGTGTGCCTTTGTTGAGGCTTTCTTTTGATTTCCTGATTTGACAACTTCGTTGGTATGTACTGTGCGAGTTTCCGGTCTCAATTCAGAACCGACGACTTTGTTGTCGGCTACTGCTGTTTCTGTTGCTGCTGCGGCTGTATTGTCGCTTTTTTGCTCCTCCTGACCAGATACATTATTTTCAATTTGTTTCGTGGCTTTCAGGGTGGGTTGTTGTGCCTGCAATTGCTCCAATTGTAGTTGCAACTTGGCTTTTTCATACTCTTGATTGTCCTTTGGCAAACTTTCGATGTTGTCTGTATTTGTGCTGGTGCTACGTGGTTCCGATTTGGTATTTTTTCTATGTTAGAAAAAAAAAAGAGAAAAAATCGAATAAACAACCATCGTCTATGATGTACATAAAAATTCAATTGTATCAATTTATAAAGCTTTGTATGTATGTATGTATGTATGTATGTATGTATGTATGTATGTATGTATGTATGTATGTATGTATGTTTGTCACATTGTCTGCCATCGATAGTAACATCGTGGGTGAGCTGCGTTGTCCTAACTTTCCAATTTTTCTTTGGGCATCTGATGTTAATAGTCAGTTATATACATAGTGAAAAGGGATTGGTCAAATGATGTGGAATATTGTGAATGAATATGGGAATTACACCCTCAAACGTTTACACTCCCGTAAAAAAATCTGATGAAAAACTGCGAAAAATTTAGTGGGTGTAATAATTTAATAAACAGTAAGAGTAAAAAGATGCCAAAAAGAAAAGAATTTTTAAATTGTGAATTTGAATGTTGTTTCGTTTTACTCTTGAAACCCAAATATATTGTAACACCTCGAAATACACATTTTAGACCCCACAAAGTATATATATCTTGATCAGCATAAAATTATATGTCGATTTAACGATGTCTGTCCGTCTGTGGAAATCACTCTAGCTTCCGAATGAATCGAAGTAGATTGATAAAATTTTACTCAAATGTATGTTATGTCTTCAGGACTTTTGGTATTCTAAATGGGCCTTGTAGGTCGAAGCTTTGGTATAGCCCCCATATAACGGTACCTCCCGATATTCGGTATTTTAATGCTTTTAGCGACATTTTCACCAAATTGTTTCAAATTTTGGTATTTGAAGTTCATAATGGATACTACAGCCTATGACAGAAAATTGTTTGTGCAGGTTCATGTCTTTGTATAGCCTCCATATAACGGTACCTTCCGATTTTGGTATTTTAATGCTTTTAGCGACATTTTTCACCAAATTGTTTCAAATTTTGGTATTTGAAGTTCGTAATGGATACTACAGCCTAAGACAGAAAATTGTCTGTGCAGGTCCACGTCATATATAGCCCCCTATATTAGTACCCCCGATATTCGGTATTTTGATGATTTTAGCGACATTATTTACCGGAATTATTTCAAATGTTGTATTTGAAGTTCGTAATGGATACTAGCCTCCCCCCATGGTACCTCCCTATACTCGTTATTTTGATGATCTTAGCTACATTATAAACAGATTTGAATATTGTAATAGCTTATGATAAAAGTTGCCTATACAGGTCTACGTCGTCTAGACCCTAATATACGGCTACATTCGGTATTTTTAAGATTTAAAAAAAAATTTAACGGATTTTATTTTTTTCAAAATTGCCAAATTTGTACCAAATGGTGGAGGGTATTCAAAATTCGGCCCAGCCGAACTTTTTTACTTGTTTTTTTTTAGAAAATAAAATTTGAAATGTATCTATTACAAGTGGAAATTACAGGTTTACTGCTATTTTAATGCGTATCCAATAATAATCAAAATCTCCCTTTGTACTTCACTTCCTGGAGAAAGTTTCAAAGGAAGAAATATTTTAGATCCAATTTTATTATGGCTCTTTTAACGGGTAAACTTATTTAATAGCATACAAAACAAGTAAACAAAGGCTATAGTCGTGCGGGGACGACCATGTGATACCCTAAAACAATGCTGGAAGACCCCCTTAAATTGGTCGATTTCATTATACTCTTCTGTTTGTAACACGTTTAATTTTCATGATCAGTATCAAATTCTAAGTCGATTTAATGATGTCCGCCTGTATTCTGAACTCACGATAGTTTGTATTGTGTCTAGGATGGTTGGTAATGATAATGAGATATATCGGTCCAATTTTAGGAATAGCCGCCTTGTTACGGTTCCTTCCGACATTCGGTATTATGCCACAATTTTTAAATGATTTATCTAAAAATGGTATTTGTAGCTCGCTTTGGGTTGTAGCTTTGGCGGCAGAACATTGTATATATAGGTCCGCGTTTTCGTATAGCACCCATATAATAGTACCTCCGATATTCGAAATTTTGATGGTTTTTGTTACATTTTTACACCGATTTGTGAAAACAAGTAAAAAAGCAGTAGGTTCGGCCAGGTGGAACTTTGACTACCGCCCAACATTTAAACGGAATTTGGAAATTTTCAAAAAAAAAAAAATAAAATAAAATAAAAAATAAAATAAAATAAAACACTCTTTGAAAAATGCTGTTAAAATCATAAAAATACCGTGTAAAGGGAGCTACAGCTGGAGGCTATACGAATATCTGGACATGCATAATCAATTTTGTGTCACAGGCTGTAGTGTCCGTTACTAACTGCAAATATGAAATTTGAAGCAATTCCGGTGAATAATGCGCTAAAATCATCAAAATAGCGAGATAAATGGGACCATACAGGGTGAGATGAAAAAACTGCAATCAACTTCAGACTGCTGTCATTTCTAAGTCACTCGTCCGACAGCTGTTAAAATTATACCAGTGACAGCTCATTATATTGTTTACGAGCGCATAAAAGCATTTTGGTGACAATTTTCCAGAAAAAAGTTAATCGTGATGGAATTCAAGCGTGATAGTATGATTTCTTTGTATTTGGCTGGACAACCACAAGTGGCTATCGTTAGAGCACTCCAGCATTTAAATGTGAATAAATCTTTTGTGTCTCGTACCATCGCTCGTTCACGTGATACTTGTAGCGTAGCCCGATGTCAAGGAAGTGGACGGAAGAAAACAGCAACATCAGCAGAAATGGTTCGAAAAGTAAAGAAGCGACTTGATCGAAATCCGCGTCGCAGTGGCCGAAAAAATGGCTCGTGAGCTGAACATATCGCAATATTCCATTCGACAAATATTGAGAAATGAGCTCGGGATAAAGCCATAGAAATTCGAGAAAGTTTAAGAACTTACACCGCGACAGAACAGAAAATTGCCTCAAACGAGCTAAAGAGTTGCTTCGTTTGGCCGAAAGTGGTGAACTGCTGAATTTGGTTGTCTCCGATGAGGAAACATTCGTTGTCCAGCATTTTGTAAACAAACAAAATGGGCGTGTTTACTTGCTAAATAGGTCAGATGAAAATGTGCACCTTCGGTTGGTCACCAGAACTTAAGCGCGGGCCATGGCGAAGGTGTGGGCCGCCATAACAGCCGATGGTATTAAATCGACCGCGGCATCAAAATAAATGCCGAATATTATAGCGAAAATATCCTGGAGGGTGTATTAAAGCCTTGGCCATGCAAACATTTTGCCCGCAGACCTTGGACATTCCAACAGGACTCAGCACCATCGCACTCAGCGCGCGCCACCCAAGAATGGTTACAAAATGAGGTTCCTCGCTTCATTTCCAGAGCACAATGGCCACCAAAATCTCCGGATACCAATCCGTTGGACTATTGTGTCTGGAATATTTTGAATAGCAAGGTTGGCTCTGAAAAATACCAAAGTGTCGATCACCTCAAGCAAGCGCTTCACCGGGAATGGGTCAAAATAGCGCAGAGCAACATTCGGGCAGCATGTGATGGTTTCATTGGCCGTTTGAAGGCCATAATTCGTGCCAATGGTGACCAATTCGAACAAATCTAAACTTATTCTAAATTTTAATGCTATTTCCGACATTTTTTGCTTTCATTTAATAAAATTTAAAAAAAAAAATGTAAAAATTATGGCTTTCGACTTTGTTGCAGTTTTTTAGCTCACCCTGTATATATATTTTGATATTTAGTATTGCATATTCCTTACAATAGAAATGACGGCTACTCCTTTCGGAAAATTTCGGAAATTTTCACCTTGACTTGGTTCGAATTTCAATTTATTAGATATAAAAGCAACTCCAGGAGAATGCTTTAAACTTATCAATGGTAAGGGGTTTCTTTCATTGTTTCTTAAATTCATATTGGAGGTCAGGTCATGTTATTGAGTAGAGAATACATCAAGAATCGTTAATACCTATAAATGTAATTCAAATATGTTACTCTCTACTTCAATACTTTTATTTCCCGCAGTTCAATGCTGATCCCACTTCTATCCCCATCGCCATTTGGCGCCCACAGTTTAAAGATACAATCGTTATTTTTCCATGTGCACTCCGTGTACATAGATGTGTGTGAATATGAGTTCAAACTTACAACTTCTTAATTGATGTATTGGCGGTTTGTGGCTTTGTGGCCTTTGTTTTATATGTGATTTGTTGCTCCTTCGTCCGGTTGGGAATGGCGGTTTTTGTCGACGATGAGCTGCCGGTTGTGTGCGAGTTGTGTTTAACATCGTGGACGGCGGCTGAACGACCAGTCAATTGCACGACAAATGGGTCATAGTTATCCGATACAATGCGATTGATACGAGCGAATATGGCATCGACAAATTGATTATTACGTTCCTGGAAGGCGTCACTCGTCATGTCGATGATATTGTTTTTCAATTCACCTGAGCATGGTGGCATCGCGTGTTGGATGTGATGAAACAAACAAACAAGAAGTTTATTAGTCAGAAATTTGCATAGGAAAAATGTTTGTAATGAATGGTTTTATGAATGGTGATGGCGGTGCATGTATATGTTCTTCTATGAATTGATGTGTGGGTATGTTCAATGAGATTTATATGTATATATTTATAAAATCATATACTCAATGACTGATTGATATCAATAACTGTAAAATTTATGTATTAACAAATTGGATTTCATGTATATTAATACATATTGATAGATAGTGTTTTGCTTAAGTGTTCCATACGACAGTTTTAAGAAAAACGCATTTCAATTTAACCAATAACAATTATACATAAACTATTCGCGTGAAATTTCAAATGTTGGTATAAAAAAGTTCTAGAGGCTGTTCTAAAGACACGATCTTATCAATTTGATTCAAATCTACCCTTTGGACACAATTGTAAAATATTGTGTGTTATGTGGAATTTCTATAGAAAAAAAAACTATTTTCTTAATTTTAAAAATAAGTTTTTAATTTCTTATATTACTAAAATATATATAACAAGAGGATAAAAATTGCAAAATGAGCGTCTTTATGTCAGTCTCTTGAATTTCAGTTTTTATCGTAAATAATTTGGGAAGAGCATACCAAAAGACCCTTGAACATATTCATACCTTAATAAGTCAAAAAATGGCAAATGGATCACTTAAGCATGACATCGTGAATATGTATATGTAAATAATTATAAAAACATGTAAATATAAAAAAATACAAAATAAATAAAGTACATAAATTAAAAAGTAAAGCTTAACATTTCATTAATTTATTCGTTTGGTTGGACCTAAAAATTCAGTTGCGCTATTGTTTTATTTTTGTTAATTAAACAAGTTAAATGTTATATTATACATAAATATAGTTTTAAGCGAGGCTTATTCATATATTGGTTCATTCCATTTGGAACGAATTTGGCAAAAAAAAAAAATAAAATCCCTTAAAAATTCTGTTAAAATCTTAAAAATACCGGAACAAAACTAGTTCAGTAAAAACTTTTCGATTTTTTCGAAAGTTTTCCCAGAGGTAGGTATTTTTACCCTGATTCCGGGAAACTATATTTTTTTCTTGGGGGGCGGAGCCGAGACCCAAGATTTTTGACCCGAAAATCCGTGTTCATCAATCCCGGATCCAATTACTCGATATAGACAATATAGGTATAGTTGGCTTATGAAAATACCTATCCAACGAGTGGTCACATGATGGGGTAAGCGGTCAAGGTTCGGAAGTTATAGTCAAATGATCGATTTTTTGGACCCGGATTTTTTATATAACCCCCAAAAAGTCAAAAAAGGGCCCATTATGGGTGTCAACAAAATTGATGGCAATTTATAGCTGATACTCTCACCTCTCCAAAATGCTACAATCGATAATTTGACTATAATTTCCGAACCGTGACCACTTACCCTATCATGTATCTACTTGTTGGATAGGTATTTTCATAAACTTTCATATTGTCCATATCGGGTAATTGGATCCGGGTCTAGTCGAAGGGATTTTCAGGTCAAAAATCTGGGGTCCCGGGTCCGTTCCCCAAGAAAAAAATTGTTTCCCGGGATCAGAGTTAAAATACCTACCACTGGAAAAAATTTCGAAAAAATTGAAGAGTTTTTACTAAACTAGGGTTAAGCCAACGGCACGTACCATATGGGGACTATACCAAGATGTGGACCTGCACAGAAAAATTTCTTTCATAGACTGTAATATCCATTACGAACTTCAAATACCAAATTTGAAAGAATTCCGGTGAATAATGTCGCTAAAATCATCAAAATACCGAATATCAGTAGGTACCATTATATGGGGGCTATACCTAGAGGTAGACCTGCCCAAACAATTTTCTGTCATAGGCTGTAGTATCTATTATAAACTTCAAATATAAAATTTGAAAGAATTCCGGTGAATAATGTGATTAAAATTATCAAAATACCGAATATCGGGAGGTAATATTATATGGGGGTACACCTAAACGTAGACCTGCACAGACAATTTTCTGTCATAGACTGTAATATCCATTGTAAACTTCAAATATTAAATTTGAAATAATTCCGGTGAATAATGTCGCTAAACTCATCAAAATACCGAACATCGGGAGGTACCATTATATGGGGGCGATACCTAAACGTAGACCTGCACAGACATTTTTCTGTCATAGGCTGTAGTATCTATTACGAAATTCAAATACCAAATTTGAAAGAATTCCTGTGAATAATATCGCTAAAATCATCAAAATACCGAAAATAGGGAGGTACCATTATAGCCCCTATATAAAAGCCCCCCAAAACGTGGACCTACATGACCCATTTTTATTACCAAAAGTCCTGCAGACATAATTTACATTTTTGAGTAAAATGTTATCAATCTACTTTATATCGTTCGGAAGCTAAACTGATTTCCATAGACGGTCAGACGGATAGACAGACGGACGGACTTCGCTAAATCGACAGAATATATATATATACTTTGTGGGGTCTATAATGTATATTTCGAGGTGTTACAAACGGAATGACAAACTTGACAAAATTACCAAGCCCAGTTCTGTCGATTCATCTAAAATCGGAAATTGCCTAAAGGAGAAGTGAAAAAACTGGCTGAGAATCAACGCCCAGACAGCGGAGGCTAGAATCTTCCAATTTGGAATGAGGGTCAGTCTTGATGGGTAGGCGCGTGAAAAGAATGGGTTTTAGGAAATTCGTATTAAAATTTACTAATAATTTAAAACTTTGTATCGGATAAACGAAATTAACTTGCAATGAGATTTACTCTTAGAGTGCAGGATATGTGTAGCAAAGTGTTTTTGCAAATTCGGAGATTGCGAAACGTTCTAAAATGGTGCTATGCTTCTGAAATGGTACAATTTTGAATTATGTGAACGGATAGAGCGGAAAACTTTAAACTTAGTTTAATAATCTCGGTCGAAACGTTAATGTATGACGGTTGTTTTAGAAATGTGTACTAAGTGTACGAAAAGTACAAAATGGTCCAAAATTTTGAAATGTTTGGTTTAAGTTGAACGGAAGCTACAATTTTGAAATTTTGTATTTGTGGTAGGTTGTACTACAAGTATACAAACACTACTAAATTGTACTATATGTGGTACAATTTGGAATTGGGTGAATATATAGTGTTTGAAATCTGAAATTTGGTATAAGGGTCGCCATTCATGTGTAGCCTGGACGTATGGAGGTGGTTTCGGAAATCCTGAAATTTGATATTGGGGTCTCTGTTGGTATCTGGAATTGAGATAAGGACGTGTTTTTGAAATGTATAACATATTTGTACAAAAGTTCTAAATTTGGTATTAGGTGAAAGAATAGAGCTTATATCCTGAAATGTAATACAGACGTATAGATGTTGGTGTCTATGGTTGAGATATGCAGGCTGTTTTGGATATGTGTACTATAATTGTTCGAAAAAAACAAAGTGGAACTAAATTGGGCATTGGGCGAAGGGATAGAGCAGAAATTCTGAAAATTGATATTATGGCTACTGTTCGTTTCTAGGGTTCACATATGGAGACGTTGAAAAAATTTTGGACAGAAAAATTGGATGTGGGCCCATTGTGCAATGGTTTTACTAATATCCTCCTTGGTATACTTCAAAATGAAAGATTTTGAAGACATTTTTGTTTAACAGGCGAACATTTTTCTATTATTCTTCGAAAAGGGAAAAAACTTAAATAATATATAAAACCTAAAAAAATTAGCACGATGTATGAAGTTTCGATAAAAAAAATGTCAAACTGAACAAATTGTGCAGTTTGAGTATTAACATATAGTATTAAAAAGCCTAACGCCAACTGTTGGAACGAATCTATAATTTGAAGAAGGACTTTTCACTGGCGGAGTAGTGAGCTCTTTATATCGATTTTATCGATATAGGCCACGCGTGATATAATCCTCATACCGGGCAGGCAACCGCTGATTTCAGCTATTTACGCGTAGAAAACCTTTTCGTAGAAAATGTTCAATGTAGGTCAATGTTTCGTAGTAGCGCTCATATGGAGGTATCTTCTGATTTTACCTATTTGAAGGGTATTTAGCACATTTTCCAATTTATTCGGCTAAAAACCTGTCTCTAGGCTACTTTGAAGATAGATCTTACAGTAAACATTGGTAAATATTTCGGTATAGTCCCCCCCCCCCGCAAATTTTAAGTTTTGGAGGGATCCTGGGCCACTACCCTGCCTAGGTAGATGTCTATATCTATAAAACTCAATTTTTTGTATTTGTGAATATTATCAAGAAATTATCAAAGTCTTTAGTCGTGCGGCACCGACAATGTGATACCATACAAAACTATAATATATTGGAAAGTCCTCTGAGGTCCAAAAGTCCTGTAAAAATGTTACCTTTGGGTTGTAACCAGTGGCATTTGCCCTATATTTACGACATCTGTAGTGCTAATAGGTATTCAAAAAAAAAAAAAAAATCAGGTCAATTTTACCTGCTAAATATTATACGATTATTTAGAACGACAATCGTATAATATTTAGCAGGTATATTTAACTCTAACTTCATACGAAATGTCGTGTAGATTGGACTTTAATTATGACCTGTCAAGAAATTTTTCAGTTTTTGGTGTTACGATTTTTGAAATTTTTTGAATACCTATTAGAACTACAGAGGTCTTAAATATAGAGCAAATATCACCGGAATGGATTAAAAAGTGGTATTTAGAGATCTAATTAGTTCTACCTATATGACAGAACAAGGTCAATATAAGTTTTCGTTTTCCTATAATCTCTTTATAGTGGCACCTCCGGGTATTATTTATTTTAAGGACTTTAGCTGTATCTTTATAGGTCTTCGTTCTATCCTATAACCCTCATGTGACCGTACTTCGGCATTTTTGAGAAAATTGGCTAGACATCTCAAAAGAATTGTTTTAAATTTTTGTAATTAATTGTACCTTCATTGGCTATAAGGGTATACAGCCTTAATA